ACCCCCACTGTCCTCTCGGGCCCCAGCCGCGTAGCGTGCTGGTGCTGTGGTCAAACCTGGAGGCAGGCCCAAGTCACTGACGTGCTGGTCGTAGCAAAACAGGGACCTGATGTTCGGCGCCTGGGGGCGGACGACCGGGCCCAACCCAGCCGTGGTAGCTGGGAGGCCGGCGTCCCGTTGTCCGACGGGGAAGGCCGGCAGGACGACCGCTGGCGAGAGTGATGGATGTGCTTCGAACAGGGGCGCGCTGTCGGCCGTGGAGGCCGGCGGCCCCTGTGAGCGGTGGTGCTCGGGTGAGAGCTTGAGGAGCTCTTGGAGGCTGCTAGGCGATGCCTCTGGGGTCTGTGGTCGCGAGGGCACCTGCTGGAGCACCTCCCAGTTGCCAATGTGCCCATCCAGTCGTACGAGCTCCTCAGGCTCACTCGTCTGCTGCTTGAGGTATCGAGCATATCGGATGAGGCCGGCGAGCACCTGCTGGGCTTCCTCACCGAAGCCAGCAGCCACGCTCTGCACCGCGGCCGCATCGCTTGACCCACGGGCCTTCTCCTCCAAGTAGCAGGCCATCATGTCTCCTCCCTCATCTCCCTGATGACTCTCTCCTGACGCGGGCGCCTCAGAGCTGGCTGCTCGTCCGCCCTCGGCTGACGGCGAACGAGAGTTCCTTCTTGTTGACCCCGAGGGCGGCCTGGGCGAGCTGCTGCGATCGAGCCGCCGCCAATGGCTGCGCAGCTTGGCGTCCGCCTCGGTGGCCTGCGCCTCGAAGCTCGGACTGGGTGCCACGCCCCCCTCAGGGTGCCACTTGACTAGGTCGACCACCTTCTCCTTGAGCAGCCGCCAGCGTGCCTCGCTGAGTGGGCCAGCTCGGCCACCCACGGGCAGACCATGCCAAGCTGCCAGCTTGTGCCAAACCTTCTCGGGTACGTTGGTCGCCGAGACGCCGATGCCGAGCTCCTCGCATCCCAGGGGTGCGTGGTGGAGCAGCTCCTCGATGAACCCTGCGGGTAGGCGTCCGGAGGGTCCTGGAGACGGCGCACGGATGACGCCGTCGGGCTTCACGAGGAAGCGGATGGCGACGCCTGCTGGGTCTGCCACCTCGAGCGCCAGCGCACCGTCGAAGTAGTCGGCCACCGTGCTGGCCGCGACGGCATCGACTGCTTTCCCTCTGAAAATCATCCACTGCGCCCCCTCGGGCCAATGCGCCCTCGCCCGTAGAATGAAGTGTTGTCCAAGGGGCATAGGCGGCTGAGTTGGCGGCTGGGGGAAGCCCGGAACCGGCGGCGCTTCGAAGCGCACGCTCGGTGGCCCAGCCGGCGACGGGACGGGGTCGCCAGGGCTGGAAGGCGCCTCTCGCGCAGAGGGCGGGGGTGCGGTGCGCTCTGGAGTGCGGCTCCTGGCTGGGGCGGCAGCTGCCCGCTCTGGTGTGCGGCTCCGTGCTGCAGGACTCCGCCGAGCTCGGCGCCGTAGCCCTGCGAAGAACCCAACTCCTGCTGGGTTGTCGTGTATTGCGCGGGCTGCGTCACCCCCAAGGTGTTGCAGACAGAGAGGAACCCCTGAGGCCATGCCCACCGCTTCCCGGAAGCAGGTCACCTGAGAGCACTTCTCGCCGTAGCGCAGGACCATGTAGATCTGCCGGTGATGCTCGCAGAGGCAGGCCGTTGCGCTCCCCTCACTTGGGAGAGGGAGGTCCGAGGCCCGCCCGTCCTCCACCAGCAGCACAGTAGGGTCCCCTCGTGCAGCGTCTCGACAACCCTCGGGAGCCAGTGGGCGCATCTTACCCTTGATCATGAGCCCCACTTTCACTGCCTCGCAAGGGTTGTCCTCGGCATCTACCTCGGACTCGGACTCCTGGTCAAGTAGCCTTGCCACTGACCCCTGCACGCCAGGCTCCGCATCGCCAGTCTTAGGACGGCGGCGGCGCCGGCGGCAGAGGCATGCCCCACAACATGAGCACCACGAGAGGATGTACAGTAGCAACTTGTAGACAAGACCCGTCCCCCTCCAGAGCCAGACGAAGATCCGGCAGGGTGTGAACCTCGAATAGTCGCCGAGGTCTACGATGGCTTCGTTGTCGAGGGCCGCGTACTCTTTGCAATGCAGCTCGTTCTCGCGCCCCTTGCACCCAGTACAGCTCGAAGCGCGGCACAGGTGAAGCCAGCGAGGATCCCGCTGCTCCAGCTCGCGCCGGAAGCTCTTGTCGCTGGCACCCTTCACGGAATCGTATTCCACCCACAATCCTTGGCGGTTGATACGTTCAGGAGACTTCATGTTGAGCTTGAGCCGGGCAACCCTGTAGTCCACCCGGATCATGAGGTCGTTCTGGCCGCGCCTGGAACCCCGGCCTTCCTTGATGCTCTTGCGATACCAGTCAGTCGTCGGGTCGGCCCCGGTAGTCGGCCCATGCCACACCACGTCGGTGAGCGGCGGGGCCGCCGGCGGAACCAGCTTGTCGAGCTTGACTTCGCCAGGCGTACGGCGCCTCGGGCAAGGGCAGCATGCCAGCACCAAGCCGCAGGTCCAAGCCGCCCAGCTACAGGGTGCGAAGAGCGTCCTCAGGCTGTGGGCCAAGAGCGCGACCATCCCGGTGCCGGCGAAGACCGCCACGAGCCCGGCGATCAGCGGCCACGCGGAGCCGAACAGGGTGAGGCCCATCTGGTCCGTCATGTAGAGCACCCAGCCACCTTCTGAGCTAAGCCAACCTCCTGCCTCGCGAGTCGAGAAGGCAGACCTGAAGCTCCCCACGGCCCTGAAGGTACCCCCACCCATCCCCTCGGCAAACCAGTAGGTGCGGTTGCCGATGTCCTTCCAGCTGATGCCGAAAAGACCCCAACCTCTGATCCAGGACGATGGATCCCCATCGGGGGGGTCGGGGGGTGGGTGGGTCGGGTCCTGGGGAGGGGGCCCAGCCGGCGGCGCGGAGCGCTCGCGCGGCGGTCCCCCTCCGCTGCTTCCTGCAGGCGCAGCGCGCCCGCCGGTAGGGGAGACCCCGTCCGGCGGCGCGCCCACGTGCATCGAGGGGTCCACGGGCACATCGAGCCAGAACTCCCTCATGTCCACGTTGTCGTCGTAGTACGCGGACTCGGCATCGGCGTCGGCATCGACGATCCCGACGGTCATCGCGAGGATCAGCATCAGGGCTGCCGCGCGCCCACGGCGCCGGCCGACCGGCGGCGGCGTCTGGGCCTTGGGGCAGCTCCTCCAGGCGGGCCCCGGCGCGCACGCGCAACCCGCGGCCCCCGCCTGGCACTGCGCCAGCGCCGGCGCGGGCTCGCGCCTGGCTGCTGGCTCGTCGGGGGGGTTCGGCGGCCCCGCCTCGACGGATGCCGCCTCGCCTCTGGGTGCTCCGCGGCTGGCGTGAGCCGGCGCCGCTCGGCGCCCAGGCCCCCCACCGCTGCGCAGCTGCGCGCCCGCGGGCGGCGACGCTGCCGCCCACCAGCCGCGCGGCGCCAGGCGCGGCATCGTGCGGCCGCGGGCGCCCCTGCCAGGCCTGGACCCAGGCCTGGGAGTCTTCTGGCCCCTCCGGGGCCCGGCCTTAGGCCAACTGAGGCCGACCCCCAGCTTGGCCTTAGAAAGGCTTGAGCCGCGGAGCGGCGGTGAAGAGAGAGGGAGAGAGAAAGGGCAAGCAAGAGGCAAGGGCAGGAGCAAGGGAACCGCAAGTGGAAGCCCGCGCCAGTTCTGGAGTCGGGGAGATCCATCAGTTTTACCAAACATCCTAGCTCGCGCCTGCCAGGTTCCGGGCCCGAGGTCGTTTTCACCAGAGCACGTTTTGCTACAGGGGGTTCTGCCCATCCCCGACAGGATCATGAGGGAACAAACGCACGCAGGCACAATTCATCGCCGAGTCCCCAGAACACAGGGGAACATGTGGGACGTGGGGGCTCCTGTCATTTGCGTCTATCTATTTGTGTGTCCCAGGGCCCCTTCAGCTTCGTCCTCCTTCCCCTTCCCTCTTCCGCGCCACTTCGCCCCTCTGCCTCGGTCCCCCCCCCCGGGCCTCCGCCCGTCGCCGTCGGGAGGAGGCGCGCCCGAGCTCCTCCGCCGGATCTCGAGGAGGAGAGGATCCAGCCGTGGCGCCAGGAAGCCGCCCAAGATCCAGAACATCTCACCGGGAATCACACGCCTCCTGCTTGCTAGTCGTCGATGCGGTATTGCCCTTCTTCTGTGTGCCCAGGGCCCCTTCGAAGGAGCCCTTCGCCGGGCCCCTCGGGGGCCGTCGCGGCGCGCCTCGGGGCCAGGAGCTGGCCGGGGGGGGGGGGTGGCTCGGCGGCGCCCGCGAGGAGGCGAGGATGCTGGCGCGAGGGGGGCGGCCCTCGGAGGGAGGCGCGAGGGTGAAGTCGGGCCTGTCCCTCCACAGGGGGAGGATTCAGAAATGGTAGTCAGGGGGCGATTTTTTGGCAATCTTTTATTCTGTTGGGGGTATTTTTTTGGGGTATTTTGTTGAGTATGTTTTGTCTTTCGTACAAGATTCGCCTCTAGGGGGACACGCCCGACCTAACGCGAGGGGCTTCTCAGAAGGCGGGGGCCTGTTCAGAAGGCCCCGGGCGGGGTTTCGGAGGAGGCCCCTGAGATCCGAGGAGGAGAAGGTGCCCATTGTTCACTTCTGATTCTTCGAATGCTCTTCGATTTTTTGGGGGGGCCAAGATCCTTTCATTTCTAATGGCTCTATCCTGGGCCTCTTCCTGGCCGCTCGGGGGCCAGGAACAACAAGAAACGAGCACAATTAGAAGTGAGCACGAGTAGAAATGAACGACGTGTATCCATACCGCTACCCCTCGCCCCGTTTTCCCCTGTTCGGGTCTCCTGGGAGGCCCTCGTCACCACCGCTGGATTCGCCTCGACATTCTGGTCAGGGCGCACCCCAGGAGAGGTCCCCATGAGAAGCCCGTCGGGCTTCGAAGAGGCCCCGTGCTTTCTTAGGAGTCGGCGCCGCCGAAGCCCAGGTCCCAAGTTCCCCGGGTCTGCGCCGTGGAACGAACAATCACGGCGTCGGAGGTCTGGGTCCGAAGCCGTTTAGGCTCAAGGTTTTTGACCTTCGAGTTGCGCGCCGTTCGCTGCTGGTCTCACGTCAGGGGCGCCGACAGGTGGGCGCAACAAATGGCCACAATCGCTACTGAGTGGGTTTTTCTGGAGGGCCTCTCGAGGAAGAACCCACCGACCTCGACATGAACACTGTGGTAGTGGTTGTGGCCAATCTGGCCGTCCTGGGACGACGCCCACATCGACCACAGCCGCTGTCAAGCTGGTTTCGGTCGTCTGGCGACTGGTGGCACGTGTAAGGCATCTCCCAGGTGTGTCTTCGATGTGGTCGTGGTCGCTTGCTGTCCCGGCAAGGGGGCACTTGGCTGATCGGGCCAGGGGGGGGGACAGGGAAAGGAGGGGTCACGAACTCTGCTGCATGCAGCTGGTCTCGGCCTCGCCGCCGGGCCCACTCCTCGATACATACGCGCCTCCTGGCGCCGGGAGGCGCCGGGAAAATCAGCTGCGTGAGCTGATTCTCACCCCCCCCCGTTGTCATCCCGCCACTCCGCCCGGCCCGATCGGAGGGGGAGAAGCATCGGCCCTCAAAAGCGCCCCCGCCCTCTCTTCGAGCGGGGCCCCGTCGCCCCGCCCCGCCCAGGAGAGCGCAGGGCTGCTCGTCGTCGAGGGCCCGTCGCCGAGCTGTCGGCGAGGTGTCGCCGGTTCCGGGTCCTGTTGTGCACTTCCGTGGGTCCCGGAAACGGCAGGGCGTCTGTTCACCGTGTTCGAAAGAACAGCACTGTCTATGGAAAGTGGAAGCGGAACGAGGCCGGAATTAGCAACAAGAGCGGCTCCGGGATGGGAGCCGAAACCGGAGCCAGCAACAGAAACGGCGACGGGACCGGCAGAGGAACGGCGACGGAATCCGCAAAGGAACGGCAGAACGGAGCCGGTAAATCGAACACGGCCCTGTCGTTTCCAGGGCCCACGAAGCTCTGGACCCCCCTCATCCCCAACGTCCGCCGATGCTCTTTTCTCATTGCGCGGGCCAGCCACAACTGGGGGAGCTGTGTTCCTTTCCCCCCTGGGGAGCCTCCTCCTCCTACTCCTCCTCCGCCTCCTCCTCCGCCTCCTCCTCCTCCTCCTCCTCCTCCTCCTCCTCCTCCCTCTCGAGAGGTGGTCGCTGCGAGGGGTTCCCCCCAGGGGGGGTAGGGACCACGGCTCAGCTGTGGCCGGGCGGCTGCGAGGCCCCCGAGGTCCTGGCGCCCCTTCCCCCCGGGGGCAGCTGCTCGCCCCGGGTTCTCCCTGCGGACGGCCCCGTGGGGCCAGAGAGAGAAGAGGCCTCCAGTCAGGAGGGGAACAAAAACACACGGTCACAATTCATCGGCGATTCCCCCGGAAAATAGGGGAAAATATGGGAAGTGGGGGGGAAGACCAGAAACCCAGAAAATATGGGAAAATATGGGGAATCTGTTTATTTGTTTGTGTGTCCTGGGGCCCCTTCAGCGAGGGGCTCCCCCAGAGGGGTGAGGACCACGGCTCCCTCAGTTGTAGAGAGAAGAGGCCTCCAGTCAAGAGGGGACAAAAACACAAAGACACAATTCATCGGCGATTCCCCTGGAAAATGCGGGAAAATATGGGGAGTGGGGGGGAAGACAAGAACCCCCCCCAAATCAGGGAAAATAACGGAAGTGTGTGGGGGGGGGGAAGACAGAAACCCAGAAAATATGGGAAAGTATGGGGAGGCCGTGTGCATCTATTTGTGTGTCCCGGGGCCCCTTCATTCACGGCGGACGGCCCCGTGGGGCGACGAGGGGCAGCGCGCCCCGGAGTGCAGAAGTCCTGCCGTCGGAGATCTGGGCGCTCCTCGTCGGCCGCCCCCCCTCGGCGTTGCGTCGGGCACGCCCCTCTCCAGGAGGAGCAATTTGCTGTTCCAGACGAGTAAGACTCGGGTACTGGAACACATACATTGCCAGTGGCGGGCTGTTGTTCAATCCGAGGACTTCTGGAGGGTCGAGGGCGACGCTGGGGTGGTGTGGCGTGGTGTATACGTTTTTTCCAATGTCCCGGGGAAACCAGGGTCCCGTATACACCAGGATCCGCTCTCCGGTGCAAATTCCAATGCAGGGCCAGAAGACGCGTCGGCGTATAGAGCTCGGTCCCCTAAAGAAGACAGTTTGGCGACACTTTCCCGTGCTCTTTGGATCGTTCTTGTTTCTCTTTTTTAAAGGCTGCTCTTTAGTTTTCTTCCAAAACTCCGCCTGTAGGAGGACGTGCCCGACCTAACCTCACCACCTCCCGTCGCAGCGCCTCCGCAGCATGGCGTCCGGTCTCGCGCTGCTGCTCCTGGCCGCTGGGGGCGCCTCCAGGGCGCACGGCGCGGGCAACTGCCCGGGCAAGCTCGCGGTGTCTGGCGGCGAGCCCGTCTCGCTCGTGAACGCCAAGTGGAACATAGCCGGCGACGCCGCGGGGAAGGTTCGCCATTCTGCACGAACGAAAGGGGCACGGGATGAATGGGTACAATGCCCAACAGCGGATCTGGTTCATTTTGAACAGGACTCGCTGTCCACGCCGCTACGGCCTGTGTCCATTCGAGACAGAAGGCCGCCTGCCCAACAGCGGCCGCTGATGGTTTGGGACAACATTTGTTGTTGGGCATTGTACCCATTCTTTCCGTACCCACTTCGGGCGTCCATAGCCCTGAATGAAGCAGCAGCGAAGCATCCTGGTTTGCCTCTATAGGCCTTCCAAGCAATGTTCTGAGAACCTGTCGTGAACTGCACGGAATGTTCTCAGAGCATTTCTGGCCCAGACTGTCTTGTCTCAGAACATCGGGCTTAATCATGTTCTAAGAACATTGTTTTTGTTCTTCGAGCATGTTAGGGTTCTAAGAACATGCCATTGCAGGCCTACAGGACTGCTGGGACAGTCGGTCCGTGCTCAAAGGAAGCCAGTCTCGAGATCCAGGCGTTGCCTTTTTTGCCACCGCGGGCGACTCCGGCTTGCTGCGGGCCGGGGGGGCCTCGCGGGTCGATCCGGCGCGGCAGATGCAGCAGAAAGCTGGAGTCCGGGGTTCTGGTCGTCGGGGCCACGCAGGCGAGGACGCCCAAGACAATCCTTTAACGGGCAGAGGCCAGCACACACACATATATATATATATATATATATATATATGCATATGTTTTTTTGTTCGCTGTCGGGGGCGATATATATATATATATATATATATATATATATATATATATGCATATGTTTTTTTGTTCGCTGTCGGGGGCGCCTGTCCCAGGACGGCTGGACAGTTTATACCCTCACGGTGGCACGCGAAGGCATAAATCAGACCGGACAAAACAAACCCAATCATAATCTTTTTAGGGCTTTCGGGCTATGGGGCTATAGGGCTATAGGGCCATAGGGCTATAGGTCCATAGGGCTATTGGGCTATAGGGCTATAGGGCCATAGGGCTATAGGGCTATGGGCCATAGGGCTATAGGGCTATAGGGCTATGAGGCTATAAGGCTATAGGGCACCCGGGCACATGGGCACCCGGGCACCCGGGCACCCGGGCACCCGGGCGTATCGCCGAAATCGGCGGCGCACCTAACCTAACCATATGAATCCGCTAGGACCCCTACAGAGGCAAGCTCTGATTGGGGAACTTTCCAGCCGCCCTGGGGCAGCGCCCCCGGTGACGGACAAGTTTATGTTATACCATTCTTCGCCCGCTAAATCTTGGGGCAGCATGGTCATGCGCAATTGTTTGTCCGTGGCTGGCTCCAGCTTCGTGGGGGTCAGCAGTGAAGAGGTGGAACCCGACGCAATCAGTGCCGTTCTTTGTGCACTGATGTTCTCATGTTTCACCCTGCTCGCGCGCCGTCTGGCGCAAGGCTTACGCTCGCTCGCTCGCTGTATTTTTTCTCGCGACGTCGGATCTCAGGGAAAGCAGCCGGGTCTTGCGGGAACGGTTCCCAAGTTTTTCCGCCGTTTTTCGGGCTCGTTGAGAGCCCTCTCTAGGCCCCCAGGACCATCCACAGAACAATGGAGGAGGAAGAGCTGGTCTTTGGGGAATGCCTCGGACGTTCCGGTCGATGCCGCGGGCAAGGTTCGGAGAAGTCTAGGCCTCCCAGATGGGGTCCGTCCGAGTAGATGGGGTCGGAGGATCGCGCCGCATCGCCGATGCATCAGCGATGCATCAGCGATGCGGCTCGATGTGGGGCCCAACCTTCTCCACGCCGACGTCGCCGATGCATCGCCGAAGTCGCCGATGCATCGCCTACTCATCGGCGATGCATGGCATATGCATCGGCGATGCAGCGCAATCTTCCGATCCCATCTACTCGGACACTATCTAGGAGGCCTCTACGAAGGGCCAGTCGAAGCCATGGTGGCCGTTCCTAGCGTGTTTCTGCCCTTTTGGGCCTTCTTGAGGTTTCTCGTCGCCACGGCTGGATCCGCCTTGACAGACGGGTCAGGATGGATTCAGGGGGTGGGGTGGGGTGGGGGGGGGGCAGGGACCAGTCTTGAGCAGATTTGGGCTGGGTGGGGGGGGCCCTTGTCTCAACTGACCATCCTCCGAAAGGTGGAGGTTGGGCCCGAGGGAGACTCGATCGTGGCGCACATGAAGGGGCGCACCTACTTCGGCAGCGACTGCAAGGACGGGTCCTACGACAACGCGGACTACGTCGCCATGAAGCTGCTCGGGAAGACGCTGCGGTACACGGTCGACATGGCCGGGGCGGGCTGCGGCTGCAACGCCGCCCTGTACCTGACTTCACTGCACCAGAACGACCAGGACAGGGCTCGAGCTCAGCGATGTTTTGGCGATTTCGTGGGCCGTGCTCGTTTTGATTTCGTTTCGCAGCAAGGGCAGGACGAAGACAGAGCGAAGGCAAATGATCACAAGACGAATGCGGGACAATTGCTTAGCTCGAGCCCTGAACCAGGAGTCGGAGTGCGAGGACTACTACTGTGACGCGAACAACGTCTGCGGCGAGAGCTGCGCCGAGATCGACATCCAGGACCAGCGCTCGGGCCGGCCGCGTGCCCCCAAAGGCGATGCCCCAGGCACGGACCCGACTCGTTGTTCGAGTACAGGGTCGACTGCAGCATCGGGTTGCCCCAGAATTGCTGGTTGTCGAAAATACGGGCAAGACGGGGTGATCTTATTGGGTGCCCGAACATTCTGCGTAGCCGATTCGGGGACACAAATTGGGTTACATCAATTCTGTAGTCGATCCCCTGCTCGAGTTGTGTGGCCCTATGAGGCGGCAGCTCCACGGCCGACTGTTCAGGCCAATGCTTGGGCTGGCCACGGCGGCACTCACCCCGAGGCCCGACGCTGTGGACAAGGACTGCTGCATCGCCGGGGGTCACGACTGGGGCCCTGGACCTTCTCTCTCTCCCCGCGGCATCTG